GCAAAAAATGACTTTAAAAAGAGTAATAAAAATAATGATTTGGGGCAAATATAGCCTAGAAAAACAAACAGGGCACACATAAATAGCACTGGATATGAAAACAAGGAAATAACTACAAAAACAGAAGAGATCTTTAAAATTATTACATCTCCATGAATAACTCATACCAAAATATATGAATACCTGCAGGTAGGAGAGAGGAAGCTCAGGTATTTATATCTTTGGTATGAAGTTATTCATGGAGGTCTTTTATGATTTAAAAAATCTCTTCTGTTTCTATACTTATTTCCCCTTTTTAGAGAAAAACTGAGTACATCTCTATAAACTTCAAACAAAATTTTTAAAAATAAAAACTGCCTAATTAATTGATAAGTTGGACTATATTAAAATATAATTAATGTTCTGTTAATCACAACACACCATTAAGAGTAAAAAGGCAACTCATAAAGTTGAAGATATATTCACAATACATGTATCTGATAAAGGACCTATACGTCGAATATATGTGAAGAACTCCCACAAATAAGTAAGAATGAAAGACAACCAAACAGAACCCAACAGAAAAAAAATGACAAACCTTGAAAAGACACTTCACAAAAAAGGATATCTAACATGACCAATACACATATGAAAAGGTGCTCAATTTTTCAGTCATCAGGAAAATGCAAATTAAAACCAAAATGACATACTACTACACACCCACCAGAATGGCTAAAATTGAAAGATGGAAAATGCTAAGGGTTGATGAGGATGTGGAGCAACCACAACTCTCATATATTGCTGATGGGAGTGTAAATTAACACAACCGCTTTGGAAATTGTTTTGTAGTATCTATTAAAACATATCCTTTGACCCAGAAATTCTACTCCTAGCAATTCTATTCCCACCAGAAACGTATACATATTTCACTAAAAAACATGTTCAGGATGTTCAGAGCAGCACTATTCATTATAGTAAAAAATAGGAAATTATCCAAATGCCCAACAAAGTTAGATGGATAAAAAGTGAGAATGGTGTACAACAACATGCAAAAATATGGATAAATATTGCAACATAACATGGAGTGAAAAAATGGTTCAGACTCTATGATTCTGCATCTATAAAATAAAAAACAAGAGAAACTAATCTAAGAAGTCAGGATAGAGATATTTTTGTTGAGTGGAACAGTGACTACAAAGTAAGACTGGGTTTTCTCGGGGGGCTGGTAGTATTTTATTTCTTGATCTGGGTACTGATTTCACATGTTTATTCCACAGGGCTGGGGCAAGGATGAGACAAACAAGATACCTACGGAGCAAAGTTTAAGGAGGCATTCACTCTCACTTTGCTTGCCTCATATTCACCTCAGCCCTAGTGTTGGATTTGTGAATATTTATTGAGCTGTATCATTATGATGTGTGTTATTTTTCTATATATGTATTATATTTGGATTAAAACATGTTAAAGAGGTCTGTTCTATCTCACACCACAAATAAAAATAAACTCCAAGTGAAATAAAAACCTAAATGTAAAAAGAAAAAACTTAAAACTTTTAGAATAAAATATAGGAGAATATTATAAATGACCTCAGGTAAAAAAGGATTTCTTAAGAATATCCAAAAGCACATATTAGAGGAAAAGGTTTGACTACATTAAAATTAAGAACTTCTCTTTAGCAAAAGACATCTTAAAGAAAATGAAAAGATAACCACAACCCTGAAGAAAATATTACAACATAATTGAGAAATAATTATTATGCAGAATGTATTTTTTTAATCAATGAGAAAGATAACCCAGTAGAAAAATGCATGAAAGACTTCAATAGTTACTTTACATATAAGAAAACCAGAATGGCCAATACACATGAAAAAATGCTCAAACTCAGTAATAATCAAGGAAATACAAATCAAAATTGTGTGGTATTACCATTTCACATCCAGCAGACAGGCAGAAAAACAAACTTTGATAATATTAAGTGTTGACAAGAACGTAGGGCATTCTCCTCTACTGTTGGTGGAGTATAAATTGGTACAACCACTTTGGAAAAACAGTTTTGCATTACCTAATAAAGTTGAAAATGTGTAAGCCCTAGGACTCTTCAGTATATGTCCTAAAGACACTCTTGCACATGTGTACCAGGAGGTGTATACATGAATGTTCATAACAATTAAACAGAAAGAATGTATATTCAGAGATAGAATATTCTACAGTAGTGAAAATGTGTGAACAACCACACACAAATGGATGAATCTCATTTTTGATGGTCAAGCAAAAGAAGTAAATCAGAGAATACCTAGAGTATGATTACATTTGTATAAAAAATTTTAAACAAGAGGATATACTCATAGATGGTAAAACTATAAGGAAAAGTGAGGTTATCACAGAATTTAGGAGTGGTTACCTTTAGAGGAGAAGGAGGGGGTGCAATGAGAAAGGTCACATTGTGGCTGTTAAGGTAGCGACAATGTTCTGCTTCTTAGCCTAAAGGGAGGATATATGGATGTTCTCATTATTCTTTAAACTGTACATGCTTTTTTATATATTTTGCTGTATGCATGAAGTATTTCAAAATGAAATAATTTTTAAAGGCAATAAAGTGTTCTACATAAGTATACATGTGTATGAATGTGTGTGTGTGTGTGTGTGTGTGTGTGTGTGTGTGTGTGTGTTCCATGAAGAAATAACAGAATTCTTAGTGGGAAAATGTCAGTAAGCACTTCACTAGACTTACTAAAGTATTCTCTCATGATTGCTAGCTGAAAGAGGAACTAGAATTGACTGCATTTACCACAAAATCCTGATCTTTGTAGACAGTTGACCCTTGAACAATGCTGAGGTTAGGGATGCTGATCCCTATGCAGTCAAAAACCCGAGTATAACTTTTGACTCCCCGCAAACTTAAGTTGTCCCTCGTTATCATGGCGTGTTGCTTCCAAGACCCACCACCGATACCAAAATCCACTGATTCTCAAATCCCCTATATAAAATGACATACATCAACGCATATAGTCAGCCCTCTGCATCCACAGACTCCCAACTGCAGACTGAAAACAGTACAGGTGTTTATTGAAAAAATCTGCATATAAGTAGACTCATGCAGTTCAAACCTGTGTTGTTCAGGGTCAGCTGTACATACTTTCTACTACATGTATGCTTGGAAAGTGTTATTACATGTCGTATTTAATCTATCCATTGAATCATTCATTTTCAAGTTATCCTGTTTTCATTTCAGCTGGTAAAAAGAAAGAAATTCTTAATTTTAAAGGATAAAAATCGGGCTGGCCGAGTGGCTCAGTTGGTTAAGAGCTCACTCAAGAGTGGGAGCTCTGAGCAACAGCGGTTCGAGTCCCGGCCCAAGCTGAGCAGCCACTGAGCTGCCAACAGGAGGCAGGATGGCTCAGAAAAAAAAAAAAGATAAAGATCTAATTGCTACATGCTCATTGTTTTCTTAACCTTTATTTTTTAAACTAATTTACATTAGCTGTATCTTCCTTGAATAGAATCAGAAGAAAGTTGCATCAAAATCTAAAGCCATTATCATGTATGACACTGTGAAAATACTAAAAATGAAAAATATTAAGACTCTATGTATTAAACGTAACAGAGTTAATGAACCAGAAGTAATCTTCAAAGGTTACCTGCTATAGTTATCTATCTTTAAGTAAGACTCAAACTATCTCAAGCAGATAAATTAATCTCAAAATAGCCCCTGAAAAGGTTTTATAGCATCCCTTCTGCTAGGCATCTGAAAATTTTTTATGTCTAGCTCAAAACCCTTTTAATGCAATGTTGGCATTCAGTAAACTTTATTATCCAGGATTTACTTAGGGCACAATGGGGCTCCAGCCAAGTACTCAACTCCAAGCCTCTCCTGAAGGAAGTAGGAAGGTGAAGGGCTCAGAGCCCTGTCTGTTTGGTTCCAGCGGCTCCAACCCCAGCCCCCTAGCTTTCCCCGCAGACCTAGCCCTAAAGCTTGTCTCTCTCCACATAACCATGAGTTGACTATCGTTTTGTTTTTACTCTGACTTCAGTTTACCCATAACTTTTTCTCCCCCAACCTCCTCCCACCCAATTACCCCAGTAATCAAAAACTTATTTAAACTTCCAGTGAATATGAATAAACACCTAGAATATTTTTTAATCCTAAAAATAAGTGAGGAAAGAGTGAATGAAGATAAGGAATATATAAAATGGAGTCACTTTAGCTAAGCTTATTAACATTATGAATGTTGACATATGAGGAAAGACTTCATTCTTGTTTTAACTACCCTGGAAACTTAAACTTCTTTGAATTTTCCAGTCCTGTGTCAATGTCTGGATATACATATGTCCCTTCAGGTAACCCTCTAATTACCTCCTGAAGGATTCATATATCCAGGCTGCCTGATTACCCACTGAAGGACTCATGTATACATCCACCTGACATCCATTATCCAGACCCCTGGGACATGACCAGACCACCTTGCATCCAACATCCTGATTGCTGCTCTTCTGACTGATAGTCATCCTGGATCAATCCTAGAGCTAAGAATGTAGGTCTGATAATTCTCAAGAATGTACTTTTTGCCATAACAACATTTAACTTTTCTTTCTCTTTGGAACACTTCTGGGCTTTTGCCTAATTATATTTCCAGTTTGTAAACTCTAAGGCCCTTGAATAAATCTCTATCATTTATTTCTAGCAAAGCCTCCAGACTCTTTTTGAGTATGTTTGTTACTTATAAATGAAAGAAAATCTCAAAATTTCTAAATTCATGGGTATCTTTTATAAAAGACATATACTGGAAAGCCTTTTCTTCTCCTAGTCATGGACAATTTCCTCTAACGAAGTATATTTCCTTCTTGAAGACAGTACTTTTTAAGAATAAAGACTCCTTTAGGTCAGGGACTAGTTTTGTTTCATTTTTTTATACCTGGCACACTCCACTGGACCCTATTACTATGATATGACCTGTGTAGGAACTGAAAAATGTCCATGTGTTCAACTGAAGCAATGAGGTATCACTCAAGTTTAGCCTTACCTGATTGTCGCATTCCTCTTCTTCCTCATCGCAGTCTAGACCCTGATGGGCAATCTCAGTAGTGTTGTTCTCCTGAATGAGCTTGTTCTCCAAATCAGACACTCTGGTGATCTCAGTTGTGACTTTTACTTTCATACTATGAAAGCCAGTTGGGACAATTCCTACTGGCAGGGTCACGGGCTCCCCATCGAACAGCAGGAAGCGTGAGTTTACCGCTTCCTTAAAACCAGGGGGCTGGTAATCATGTGGGGTCACTGCAAAATGAAAAGGGCAGAAAACCAAGAAAACTGAGTTTCAACAGAACAAGTCAGGTTACTCTTTCAAGTGTAGCATCAGATACGCGTATCTCTTTCAGATGCTTGCAAAATACTTCTATTTATATAAAATATTATTCCAGCACTTAAGAAGGAATTTAACTAGAAGTCTCCACCTACCTGCATTATAGTAATGGAGTTTCATAGTAAGTATAACTTCATTAGGAAGGGGTCCGAGGTTCTGCATCAGTATATACAATTTACGGATCAGTAAAGCACTCGCTTTCTTAATATCTTTACTGTTCATTGCACTTTTGAAGCTTGTATTACTGCTACAACCAGACAGAAAAACATACTTTTCAATCATATACAATATTGGAAATATATTTCAAAAAGAAACAACCTTTTTATTATATGATCAAATAAATATAAACTAAACACCAGGACACTTGAGACTATTTTTAGAATGTAAATTAGAGGAGAGATTGTACTTTTTGCAATGTATATACAAAGGATTTTTTTTACAGAGCAAGTTCCCTTAAGGCATTTTAAATATGACCTGAGTTTACAAAAAATTTTTGATTTACAAATAACCACATGCTATAATATTGAGAACAATGGATTTGGAATTAGGAGACAACATCTAATATTGTCTCTGCTATTAACTAGCTGAATGACTTCACACAAGTCACTTAGACACTCTATGTCAATTACTTCATTTGTGAGATAAGCTTACACACATTTCTATACCTCTTCAAGTATAAAACCAATCATCAGCTCTGGGCCTTTCTACCATCTAGTTATCTCTCAGAGGTATCCCTTCCTCACTTTTACATGGATTATGACAATGACTATTCTTCTTGCTTTTATTCTTGTCCATACTGCAAAATATTATCCACACCACTGCCAAAATAATATTCCTAATAGGAAAACCTGCTCGTGTCATTCTCTTGCTTAAAATTCTTCTATTACACCCATCAGCTTTCAATCAAATTCGAGAATGGTGTGTGTACAGTGCCTTTCATGACCAGCTGTGCCCTCACCTCCACCTTCATCTGCGACTACCACCAGTTCCTTCACATCCATGTGCCATTTGCATATGCTGTTTATTTTGCTTATATTGGGCTTTTCCCACTTCTTTTCCTGACTCTCCTGAATTCATCCTTTAATACCTAGCTCACATGTCACCTTTTTAAGTCTTTTCTGATGATCCCCATACCTCACCCCTGTTTATAACTGTTTGTATGTCCCTCTCTAAACTATAAATGGCTATATCTTTCATCTCCATGGTACTAAGTTTGTGCCCAGCTATAGCAAGTACACAATAAACATTTGTGGAATTAATGAATGAATGAACAAGTTGGACTAAATTACCTTCCAACTCTAAACACTCTTTCTCTCTAAAATTTTCTTTCCCAATTAGTCTCACATTTGAGTAGTTTCCAGGAAGGACTGTGACTGTAATATATTTGCACAATGCCTTTCACGTAGTAAGCACTCAGTACTGAAAAATCATCCTAAATAATCAAGCTACCGGAGGCAATATGAATTCATAAAACAAACATTATTAAGTAAATACATTTGCTCCCATTTCAATTTTGAACAACTAAAGGCTTGTTTACCAGGATTTAACCAATTTGAAATAGGTAACCAGAGTGGAGCGCTATAGCCATGTAGCTTTCAGTATACATATTTCAGTATACACCATATTCATGTAAAATCATATTCAAGACTCCCTTGCATTCTTTTAAAGGGGAAATTATCTTTACTATGGAAAACGTGATAATGTAATTTTACATGAATGATAATTTAAACAAATGCCTACCTTTGGTTTTTAAGAAATCAGTAGTATGCTTTACCTTCTCTCCTCAGTAGCTGAAAGATTTGGCCATTTCTATATTACTGCTCACCTCTTGGCATATGTGCTTTCATAACAAGAGAGATTAATCTGGTTGTCAGTAGTACTTACATTTGAATTTTAGAGAGGAAAAGGCAATGGATTTATGTAAGAGAATATGTATGAAAAGTACTGTACAATCTGCCTAGTGCCATACAAATGTTAGCTAATGATGGTTAATATTTTAATTCTCATTCCTAGAACTTACTTCCTCTTCATGTCCTAGTGCTGTCTGTAAGTTTTACAAATGAGAAGATAATTAAGGAAGTGAATCTTGGAGAGAAATCCTCGAACTTGCAGTAAATGTGAAGCAGAGTTAATAGTATGGAAAATTGAGAATTAAGCCACATTTCTCTTCAGTCATTTCTTTCAAGGAAACTCATCCTACTGACGTGGAGCTCTCTGCTACCCAGAGCTTTTCACCGGCATCCACCCCCTCCACTTCTATTCCATCTCATCAGCAATATTTAGCTCTATCTGAATCCAAAAGCTATTGGGAAGGAAATAAATGTTGCTCCTCAGTAAAACATCTCCATCTGCACTAAGGACCTTCTGAAGCAAATGTTCTTGTCTTTGCTATTTTAACCCACTAGTATATCTAAAACTTGGAATTTTAAATTTGACAGGAAAATGCAGTGCTTTCCAGTCTTTTCCACACAGGGACATACATAGATAACTATACTTATATTACATACTTTGGCAAGCAGATGAGAATCTTGGTGTAAATAGTTCAGGGGTTTCATCTACCCCAGGTCTGGTCTGGCTATATTGAGAGCAGAAAGGATCAATATCTTGGCATAGCAATTGAGAAATTTTGGTTTAGTGGCTAGATAGAGCCTTATGGAATTCTTCAATCAACACCATGTAGACAGCCTCATTAATATAATTCTACTGCTGTGCCGCCCACCAGCTACCATTGCCTGCAAGTACCACCACCATGACCACCATCACCACTAGGTACCATTTGCTGAGTGTTTACTATGTGCTAGACTGGGGAAAGCTTTATAGATGCATTATAACTTAATAATCACAGCAACTATATGAAATAGATATTATTAACTCCAGTATGATGATGAGAATACTAATATTTAGGGAGGCTGAGTAATCTGTTCAAAGTTATATAACCAGTAATAGTCAGAGCTGGAATGCCAAGCTAGATCTTTCTGCCTTAGGAACTCTTAACCACTAAACTTCACTGCCTTTAGACTCTACTCATATCACCTATGAGGAAGAGAGGAAAAGAAGCAAAGGAAGCCTCTATTCCCACCAGGAATCCATGGATTTCAGAAATTTAAACAATTATTATAATCCCTCTTTATAATAGTGGTTTTTTGGTAGGATTGTTTGGGAAGTTACAAAGGAAATACAAGGCCTGTCTCTGGCCTCAAGAGGCTTATATTTACCCCCAATAATATATATTTCTCATGTTCATTAAACAATTAGATTCTACCTGTCAATATCCATAGTGGCTCCTTTTTTTGTGTATTTGAATTTGAACTGGTATATCTCAGTCACTTTCTAGAAACATCAAAGAGAATAGAGAAATTACTTTAAAAAAGAAATCCAGAGTCTTATAACAGATAAGGAACATTTTCATTGTGTACCTACTATACTTCCAACTTACCTGTTTGTTTCACAGCATTACATTATTCAGGAGTAATATTTGCAGATACAAAGATAATTTTTCTTCTCCATGCTAAAAATGAGTTTGATGATAAATGCTATTGTTACCATTTTATTTATTTTTATGTATTTATTTTTAAAGATTTTATTGGGGAAGGGGAACAACCAGCCAAGTTGTTGTTCTTCAATCTTAGTTGAAGAGCGCCAGTTGCCATCTGGCTTCCCATCAGCAACTTGTGGCCTCTAAGCTCAAGGTGCTGTGTTCAATCTTAGCTGCGGGTGGAGGTAGCCACCATCCCATGCAGGAGTCGAACCAGCAGCCTTGTTGTTCAGAGCGCACGCTCTATCCACTGAGCCATCCAGGTGGAAGCTCAGCTCAAGGTGCTGAGTTCAGACTTAGTTGCAGGCGGGCGTAGCCCACCATCAAACAGGCAGTCTTATTGTTAGGAGCACGTGCTCTCACCAGCTGAGCCATCCTGCTACCTGTTGGCAGCTCAGCGGCAGCTCAGCTCAGGCGCAGCATCACTGGCCCATGTGGGAATTGAATGGCGGCCCTGTTGCTCACAGCTCGCGCTCTGACGCTAACTCTTAGCCAACTGAACCACTCGGCCGGCCCCCTATTGTTACCATTTTAAAGCTGGAAAAACTAAGCACAGAGTCAAGTGTCTGACCCAGAATAGGTAAATGACAGTGGAACCAATTGAGAAACCATCTATTCATGTAACAGATATTTACTGAACTTTGTCAGGCACTGAAGTCATGGTGATGAATGTGACCGAAAAGGTCCCTGTTTATCTGGAATATACAGTCTGATGAGAGAGATAGTCAATAAATAGGTAAACAAACAAAATAAGATAATTTCAGATAGTAATAAGTGCGGTGAACAATATGAAGCAGATGCAAGACAGAGAGTACAGAAGGGGAGAGGTGCTGTTTTGGTTGGAAGGGCCAAGAAAGGCCTAGCTTAAGAAGTCATGTTTGAGCTGAGCCTCAGTGACAAAAGGGATCAGTCATGTGCAGACCTGGGGGAAGGTGGGGTGCCCCATGCAGAGGTAACAGCAATGCAAAAGGTTTAAAGTAGGGGGGGAAAGCCTCTCCCAGGATCAGAGGGGAGGCCAAGTGGCTGGCAAAGAGTGAGCAAGGGGGAGAGTGTAGGGGATGAGGTCGTAGAGGAGTTTTGGGGGCCTTGTCAACCACAGCTAAGGTTTTAGATTTTATTCTAAGTAAATCAGAGTCCTTTGAAGGGTTTTTAAGCATGGCAGTGATTAGCATTTTTAAAGATCATCCCAGCTATTTTAAGAGCACAAACGGGAAGAAGTGGAAACCACAGGAGCAATTAAGATAGTCACATGTCTTCTTAGGGAAACCACTTCATGGACGGTGTAGATGCCTGACCACTGCACTGTACACCTGAAGCTGAAGCTGAAAAATATTTTATGTCAACTATAATTGAATATATATATAGTCATGGGATATGGAGTATAGTATAGGGAATAGAGTTAATGGAATTGTAATAGAGATATACAACGTCAGAGGGGCAATAGATTGGGGAAGGAAGGTTATCACCTTGTGAGGGGTGAAATGTATAACTATTACATTGTTTTGTACACCTGAAACTAATGATAAAAAAAAAAAGAAAAAAAATACCAATGGACAGCCAAAAAAACAAAAAAAGGCTATAGCAGTAATTCAGGGAAGACTAGAATGGCAACAGGAAAACTGGAAAAATCAGAAAAGGAACTGGGAGCTATGATTTCAGGCCTTGTTTTTTTTATCTTGCACTAAAAACTAGATACTACTGCTATCTGCTCTCCTCACTGTTAAGAAAGCTAGAAATGAAGGACAAATTTCCTCATGAGAGATATACTCCATTTAAAATAAAATTATTGTCTAGTAGTTGAAGCAAACATTTGGCCTAGCTGCACTGTAGTTTGTCCACAGAGCTGGAGAAGGTGTTAAAAACAGGCCAAGGGTATGAGTTTAAGTCAGAACACAAAAAAATGCCCTTCATTCATCCGTTTCAGTATTTGTTCCTTGAGAATATGGGAATGAGGATGTTAGATTGATCAGAAAAAGTCTCAATGTTTTTGTTACTTTTCTCTAGTCTAAGATTCAGTATTCCATTAATCACAAGTGGTCAAGTTGTAGGGAAATTAGCTCATGCTGCTTAAACTTGAAGAAGACTGATTTGTAATGGAGTTAATTTTAAAAGAGAAAAATATTTTTTTTTAGCAAGATGGCCTACTTGAGAAATCAAACCAAGTTCAGAAGGCTGCTGCGGGTTCCACATCCGCAGGTTCAACAAATCACGGATCAAAAATATTTGGGAAAAATAATGTTATGTAGTTGCTGGCGTGTAATATGTAGTTAGACCTATGATGGCTGCATCTGTACTGACCATGTACAGACTTTTTTCCTTGTCATTATTCCCTAAATAATTCAGTGCAACAACTATTTACATAGCACTTACATTGTATTAGGTACTGTAAATAATCTAGAAATGATTTAAAGTATACAGGAGGACGTGCGTAGGTTATACGTGTATACAAAGCTACTTTACTGGAGCATCCACAGATTTTGGTATTCACAGAGGTCCTGGAACGAATCCCCTGAGGGACAACTAACTGTACAATAGGAGACATATGTGGGACTAGAGGTGCCTACAGTGACAGGTTCACTCCAGACAGGCTAGTTACAGTGTCCTCTCTTCGCTAATGCTGGGAGTAAATGCCCTGTCAAGCAAACTATGCCTATTCTTTCTGTTTGCCCACGTTTCTCAACCAATTCTAGCTTTTGATGCTCTGAGCTATATTTTGGGTTTGTTTGGGTTTTTTTTAAGTTGTATCAAGAGTAGATTCTTTAGTAGTTGGTAATTTTATTAACAGTTTATTATGTGGTCCCTGGAACAAATAATAAGAGTTATGTTTGTAATTATTTTATAGAAGATGCTAATTCTTAATAACTTCAATCTGACTGATTGATCAAGGTAGGTATATTTACAGCTGGCATTAGCCTCTTCTTAACACCTAAAATGTTCTGTTTTTTTAGATTAATGTGTTGCCTAATAAAGATGACCCTTTAAACTGCTCATGAAGGTTTCTATTAATCACACTGAATATATCCACATATACTAAAGCAATGGCAACATATATATACAGCCTTTAATTTTCCCTCCACATTCCAATCCATTGGCAAAACCAGATCTTTTCAGGTTTGTCTCAAAGTATATCCCAAGTTCATCTAATTCTCTTCATCTTCACTGCTTTCGCCCTATCCAAGCTACCACCATCTCTCTTCATTTGATCTGCTTGCTTCCAAATTATCTCTTCTATAATTCATTCTGTTATTTGGCCAAAAGGAGTTTTTGAAAATACAAATCAGACCACATTACTCCTTTGTTTAAAACTCCCAATGGTTTCTCACTGCCCTTACAATAAAACCAAAATTTACCTCGGTCCACAAGACCTTACTCATCTGTCCCTGTCTACATCTCTGACCTCACCTCCTGCCTCTTTCCCTCCAAGTAACTAAGTTCCAGGCTCAGGGCACCCTCTCTGTACACAAACATACAAGAACTACCTTTCTGCCTTAGGACCCTTGCACAGCTGTACTCTGGAATGTGCTGTCACCAATTGTTAATAATGATAATATTTGGTCACTGCTCTAAATGTTCTACATCTATTCATTCTTATACAGCCAACACTTTGAGGTAGGTATTATTGGGTTGTCGGAAAGGTCATGACATATTTTTTCCATGTTTTTCATTGCAAAAATGCATCATGACTTTTCTGACAACCCAATATTATCCTAGATGAAGCTAGTTAAGTGGTAGAGTTCCAGCAACTGCAATGTTAACTGTGGTGCTATTCTGCCAGTCACATATTGTTGCCTGTCACAGACCTGCACAGGCTGACTCCTCTGGCCATTCCAGTCTCAGCTCACGGTGGCTCCTCAGGGAGGCCTTCCATGGACTCCCCTCTTATTCCTCCTCTGCCATTCTCCGCCTCAGCACTCCCCAGTATACCACCTTCTTTTATGTTCTCCATACCATTATGGCTATCTGAAATTGATTTGCTAATTTTTGTTTACTTGTTTATTTTTATACTCCTTCATTACAATTAAGCTTCCAGAGAGCACAGACCTTGCCTATCCCATTAACTCATGTATTTTTTGCCTTGAATAGTGCTAGGCACATACAGAGAATCTAATTAACATTTGCTGAATGAATAAATATTCAGCCAAGATAGAGTTTACACTCAATTAAGATTTCATCAAGGATTTAAAAAAAAAAAACAGTCTCTAAAAGCATATTGTGGCTAGAAACAGGAACCACCTAAAGTTCAGTTCCTGAAGCAGTCTATTAAAACTGTGTCTACTGTCGAACAGGCACAAAGAAATAGATGGTGAAACAGTAAGATTCATGTCCTTACAATATTCATATGTAGTAATTCTTTATGGGTCTATCATGCAGAGTTGTGCAAATCTTTCCTTACGTACATCCTCCACACATGTTGTAATATGTGTCTATAGAAAAGCTATACTATCTTTCTTCATCACTTTAGTTACTTTTGTCAGTTTATTTCTTTCATGAGAACAAAACTTCAAGAGCAGAAGCACCACAACTTTGTGCAATGCTCAAAACTCTGTTGGTCTCAGGACTGGGTAAGTATACCTCATTTAAGACAGGGGTTTTCAATTGTGTACCATGATAGACTCTTCACAAGAGTGCTACAAATTTTAATCTACCTGTAAAATGTATTTTTGCTTCAAGTAAATATTAATATTGTTGTTGTTTGTGCAGTTTTGTTTAGGGGAAGATATATTTCTACAGATAGGAGTCAAGAAACATGGTACAATATCAGATAAATGTCAAAGAAAGACTGTGTTTTTGTGAGAATGTTGTTTTGCAAGTATATAAAAGAATGAGATCAGGGAGGTAAATAGTTCTGTTGGGTTGTTGGAAAAGTCATGATGTACTTTTTCTGTTTTTCGTTGCAAAAATGCGTGATGACTTTTCCGACAACCCAATATTAGTGACTTGATGCTAAACAGCAACCATAAAACAGCATAACCCCATGCTACTTTTAGGCACTATGAACATTACTATGCCATAGTTATACTGTAATTATTGCTGACTAGTTTGGCATCCCTTTGAGTCTTTTAATATGCTCAAACAGGCCACCAAATTTTCTAGTAATCAAAAGTCTGCCATGAACACAGAAAAGCTAGAGATCACTGCTATAAGGGAGAATCTGTAAGCATTCAAAATATTTTTCCTGGGTCATAAATGATAGCTCAGAACCTATCATAAAATAAGCTTTTGTTTCTAACTTCATTATTATTATATACATTGCCTGCATCAAAGCTAATTTAATAGTTTTCTTTCTCCTCAGTAAGATTTTTCTGTAGCTAAGCCCAATTTGTTTAGCATTTCACTACCTCAAAACCACTGGTTTCAGACTAGGAGTTTTACTTGCATAAGAAAATATTATAATTTATTGCACTAAGGAAGTGACCAATTTATTAACAATTTATAAGGAAGGTTTAGTTGGGAAACTTCCCCTCAGACCTACAGGGAAAAAGAGCAGTTTAAAACTACACAAGAACCAAAGATAGAGGTAGTTTGGCACTGAGGAATTGTTACCCACCTGTGTGCACCAATTTTCTTCTGCCTTGCTCAAACAGCTATTTATAATTTTGCCAATCAAGGATATTAAAGACTGAAAATGCTTAATTTAGTCTTGAATGTCACTAATTAAGCTAAATCCATTGGTTTACAGAAGGAAAACTGAAAGCAAGGAAAAAGGGAAGAGAAAAGAAAGCTAGGAGGAAAATAAAGAGAATAGAGAGAAACAAACAAAAAACCAGAAGGCCCTCCATTTCTATGCCACCTCCACAACTACCATTTGAAGTAGCACAAGTAACTATGATATGTCCATGACTAATATTCACTCTGGAAGAGAGAAAACAAGAATTCACAATCTGGTTGTGAAGATAAAGTAATATACGTGAATCAATTGAAAGTGTTAATTTTAAGATCCTGCTGGAAAAGGAATTTAGAGAAGGAAGAAATTAGTGTGAACAGAATAGGCAAAGAGGCTTTCATGAAATATTTTAACATAAGTTGGCCTTGAGGATGAGTAGGACTCAATAAGTAGAGGGAAGAAATTTAGGGAGAGAAGCAAAGAGGTAAAGCTCTGAATATCTATGGAAAGATCAAAAAGGGGAGAATTTAGTTTGCAAAAAAAAGTTTAGAATTATGCCATATCTTCCAAAATGCCACAAACAGAAAGGATTCAGAATCGGTTAAAATAAATACTGAAATGTGTTTTTTTTATACAAGCAGAGATTCTTAATGTTAACATGTTAGAGAATAGGCCCAGTTCTACTCAATGCTTTCTTTTTCCAATGCCCCTAACTAGCTTTAAAAATCTCATAATAATGAATTGGTGAAGTTTATAACAAAACACACCGAAAGAGTTACTTTGCTCATGTGGTTGTCTATTAACAACCTATTGCTTCAACTTAGGTAAACATACTTAAATATAATACACATATACTGCCCATCTCTATGTGTGTTCTTACCTCAGGTTCCTTGGGATTCGTGTAAAGCTGTTTAAGGAAAAATAAACAGCATTTAATTTCTGAAATTTACTAGATTACTCTTCACAGAATACATGTTCTATGTGAACAGTTCAATTTGTGCTGTATTGAGTATTGATATATATGATATATTGAGTATTGATATATCCATATATATGATATATATATATATCAAGATATACAGTTCAAGCTAGAAGTGGAATAAGCTCTTATTTTGTAAACATAGGAAGTCTTTAGAGTATTCTGTGAACACTGACTGTAAGGAAATTGATAACAATGTATTTATAATTACTGTAACTGAGCTACAAATAAATTCTAAATAATTTGTTAGGGTTTAACATTTTTTAAATAAATCATACATTTTTAAATAAATCATATACTCTCAATGGTATCATCTCATTTTCTTTCTATTCTTAATTACATTCACCATGTTATACCCAGAAGTATAGAACACTTCAAAAAAGTCTACAAAACTTCAAAAACAAAAAACTTCAAGTCTGTAAAGTAACTCAAAAAACGAAATCCTGATAGCCAATAGATGAAGCAGGTAGATCCTGTATATTTTCCCATATATTGTAATATATAATATGCCAAAAAAATATATAGTTTGTAATCTTTTATTAAAACTTCTGATATATTCTATGTCTTTTTTTAATTCCAAAGTGTCAAACAACAGATAAAGATATTCAAGAGGTTGGAAGGAGGATACTGTTTTAATGTTTTACTTGCCAAAAGGCAATAAAGTAGAGACAGGCTTGGTCTGTTAAATGTGTACTTACTGTAAGTATTGCCATGTGTAGCTTCAAGAGAAAAAAAAACTAGTGTTATTATATATTATATATTATATACTTGCAACTATATTATTGTTATTTTCATTAAAGGCTAATTAAAATATTTCAGAGAGGTTCCAAAGATTTGGGTAGAAAAAAACTTATTCAGAAGACCAGAAAAAGGGATACTAATTATTCATTCATTCAAGTGAGTGCCTATTACATACACAGGATTCTGCTGGGGAGGGAAGAGAAGGGATACAAAAACAGAAAATAACTATCCTTGCTCTCTCTAAGTTATAGTCTAGTTTGGGAGGCACAAGATATACAAAATAATTTATTATTACTAAAAATTAAATATGCCACAAGTATTTCAAAAAAATTGTGCCTTTTGAAACTGATCTATTAAAATAAAAATTTTTAAGTCTGATATAAATCTATAAAACCCATGCCCTCCCTACATATACACATTACTATAAACAGGTTCTCTCTCCTTGAAAGAATAATAGAATATATAGACATAGTATAATAAATCCTATGATAAATTTTTAAAAATTAGAATACAAATGAGAAAATTTCAGGACCATAATTTCATATCAAATTATTCACCTATTTCATGCAAAGCACTAAAGCTTTAGTGACACTGTGTGGCTATTTTGGTTACTGCATACAATTGATTTTAAGACAACACAGTGAAACTCTATTTTACGTTAATTATTTAATTAAAAGTTCATTTCATTCATAAATAGACAAGGCTCCTGATCTCAGGGAACAAGCAGGCCAGCAGGGGAGAAAACATTAAACAAAACACACAGATAGGTGTTAACTGCTATGAAGACTGCAGCACAGGGTGCTTGAGAACATTAAACAGAGGGAGCATTTAGGCTGAGGGAGGAGGCTTGTCAGGAAAGGCCTCCCTGAGGAAGTAAATATTTAGGCTGAGACCTGAAGGATAAATTGGAGTTAGCCAAGTAAAGGGTATTGGATAGGGAAAAGAATTTTCCATGCAAAAGGGAAAAATATGTACGAAGATAAAAGGCACTTGGCATGTTCTAGAATCCTTATATGGCTTGGATATGGTGAGCAATGGTGAGAGTGATGCTTTAGAAAGACAGATGGAGACTAGATCATACAGGCCTTGTAGATCATGTGGCGGATTCTGAACTTTATTTTAAAAGCCATGGAAGATTTTTTAGGCAAAAGAATGACATGATCAGACTCAGGTTTCTGAAAGAATGTAATGTGGACAGTGGGGTGGAATGGTAAGGGATTGAGAATGAGAATAAGGAGACAAATTAGGAGGCTATATACAATACAGTCTCTTTTATATAATAACTATCTAAAAATACATAGTTTTTTATTTTAAAGAAAGCAAGCATAATATAATGTACAAAGAAAACTAAAAATCACCTAAAATTTCACAACTAGAAATAATAATTTAACAGAACATCTTTCAAGATCTCTAGATACTCAAACTTGACGTTACTTAAACTATTTTAAAATATTATTTCCTATAGAAATGAGAGCACCCTGGGAAAAATGAAAAGATATTAACAACTGAAAAACAATATAAATACTATTTACTTAAGCGTCTAAGATCATCCATCTAAGGTGTTATCTTTTAATTTCCAAAAACAGTAAATTTAACTGATTCAGTTATATAGGTAGTCATTTAAGTAAAACAAATCCATTAAACTAGGTAGATACTCTTTTATACTACACTGTTATTTTAGTACATGTAATATTGTAATTATTTAAGCGACTCTATATTAGACTGTGACCTCCTTGAATGGAGAAATCACGTTTCTCTCATTTTCACCCTTTCAAGTACCTAGGCACAATGTCAGGCACAGATTAAATAGGCAAGGGAAGAAGGAAAGGAGAGAGGAAGAGAAGAAGGGAGAGAGGAAAAGGGAAGAAGGGAGGGAGAGAGCTAGAGAGAGAGAAAAAGGGAGACGGAGAGGGAGAGAGAGAACACTTACACAGGGCTATAGTGCTTATTATGTGTCAGGCACTGTTCTAAATATTTTAGATTAGTGATTCTCAAAGTATGACCCCTATACCACCAGTCTCAACATCACCTGGAATTTGTCTGAAATGCAAATTCTTACATCAGAAATTTTGGGTGGAGCCTAGTAATGTGTGCTTTAACAAGACCTCCAGGTGATTCTGGTGCTAGCTAGCATTTGAAGACCACTAATTATTAACTCATTTAATTCACAACCTAAGAGGTAGGTACTATTATTATCACCATTTTATATGTAAAGAAACTATGGTACCAAGAGGTAGGTTACTTGTCCAAGGTCACCCAGATATTAAGTGTGCGGATGAAAAAAGGGTTCTACAAAAATTAACCTCACAGGATGATCTGATCATAAATTCCTAACTGGGCAGGTCATGATGGGTAGTCATATAACTTCTTTAGTAAAAGGTAGTAAAAGGTTTATATTGTCTTAAGCAAGCCCTTTCCATTGTTCTTGTGCATCTAAGATTAATACGCCTTTGAAATAAGCATAACTATTCTTAAGAGGATACATAATCTTGTTAACTATCCTGTAATCCAATCTCCACCTTGCTTTCTCCCACATTCATGTAATCTTCTTTATGTTTCCTCCATAATCTCAAATACGTAAAAGAAATTGCAAAACTGTTATTCTCCAGAGCATTTTAGATCTTGCTTCCTGACAACTGTCATCAGTTTGGCTCAAATAAACTTATAAAAATTGTCTACAGGTTTGGACTTTCTTATGTCAACAAGTGGCAAAACTGGGATTCATTTAAGACTGATTCCAAAACTTGAGTTTATAACTATATTGTACTGCCCCTCAATGATAGACACTCAGGAAGTGTTGCTAAATGAATGAAGAATGAATGAGCACTATCTAGTATGCTGTGATGAACTTCTCCCACTTCTCAACCTGTCCAAATACTCAGGGCTTTCAAAAATCAAGTCATTTTCTCCCAAAGATCTCCCTCTTGCCCCTCACTGGATATAACCCCTCCTATTCCAAACATCCATTGCATACAATCAGTATCTTTCCTTTGGCATGTATCACTTTCTAATGAGTATTATCGTATGCTTGTGATAGAGGTGATAGTCAGTGATATAAAAAAAATCAATATCTAACATCCCAATATGGCACAGGTACTGACTAGTCAGAAAGGATGCAAACTTAGCCCTGAGGCTGGGTTTCTGGAAGCTCCCCTGGACCACCTTGCTAACCCTTTAGTTGCTAGATTATAGAGCTGTCTGGGGAGATCCCAAAGGAGGCAGTGGTGGAATGAGGGAGAGGACGTTGTGGGAGTCATTTGGGGTCTCAGAGAAGCAGCTATTTACCACCTGATATAGAGTATTTCAATATTTTAACAATAGGAACAGCTGGGCCAGTGCATAACAGCTGATCGTCAGCCAGGCATATGAATATCATTTATCTTCTGCCATGGTCAATAAGCTCTTTGCACAATCCCTTATGTTTTATTTTTGTATCATTCAGTTCCCCACATCAGATTTGAATAAATCATAAATAATTGTTCAATGAAAAAGGAAATATATGTGTGTGACTAAATAATCCAATAGTTTATTAATAATCCAATGTAGGTTCATTCATCTCCAAATTTCTTAAAGGAATGGAAATTGAGAAGGAGTACAAAGAAAACAGTGGGGCAAAGGGGAAGAAGCAGAGATAGAAAGTTTAGATAGATAGATAGTCTCTTCGATTAGGACTACAGCCTCTAATTTTTACACCCTTCATAGCTATCTTGGGCAGCAAGAAAGATCTGACACACTTAAAATTCAAGCTGCATTTCAAAAAAATTGAGCTACAATACTAGCTATTTTGAAGGAACAAGTTATATACCTACACCAAACATAGTAAACAAAGTAACCAACATGGAATAAAAACGTATTATTCCAATTCATTTTTTCCTTTCATATCTGCGAACTGAATCGCCGCTATTTTGAACATGTTCAATGTGCTAAATGCCAGATTCTTGTCTCCCTTCTTCCACATCCTGTGGATATCTCCTAGTGACTTCAGAGGAAATTTTGTGGTAAAAAAGATATGAGTATGTAAAAGAGAAAAATGAGGGTTTCATTTCTAATTGATGTAAATGAGACATCAACGGGACAACAAAGGCATAAAAAGAAACTGGTTCATGAATCAAATACCAGTAGGCACTGGTACACCATTAAAACACAACAAAGAAAAGACTAAGCTTTTTCTTTTAAGAGATAAAAGATGAGTCTTTGATCATGGTGTAAAATTTAAAACATTCTTACGTATCTCTTTTCCAAAGCATCAAAACAACCGTGAATCCTGTCAAGAAATAAATGTTTGATGTCAATTTGGACTAGATGCAAAGTCAAAAAAAAATCCAAGCACAGAATCGGTTTACTTTTTTTTGCTTTGAAGAATATTAAATTGACAATCATTTACCTTTCCCACTGAATCAATTTTTTAAAATTCCCAATGTCCCTTAATATGTTGATACAACTTTATAAATAATAGATAAGCAATTCTGAGGTAGGGAATCACATATTTCTCTTTTCAGCTCCCATAATATTTAGGACACTGACATGCATTTGAGTAATCAAATTTTGATTGATATTTTCCTTTCTTTATACGAGCCCATTTACTTCAAAAACATTATGTCAGTATCTTAAAATAATATTGAATAATTACAAATTTCTAGGAAATTGTAAAAAAGAAATGGTTTTAAGGGAATGTTACCACATAAAGTATTATGGGTAATTTCAGCCATGATAAAAATAATGTTGTTCAACTTTTATAAAATTTCAATTACTTACCATTTGATAATATGCAGTGACCCAGGAAATTTTTTATCTTCTTGTAGGATTTTTAAACTGAGGTCTACAGAAATAGAAACAGTCTATTTTCATCTACTAAATGACTGCTGTACTAAAATTGTCCATGCTAAATAAGGGTATTTCCTTTAGTAATTTTATTTATAAAACTTAGTTTTATAGCTTATAAAAACATTTTGAATCTCTAAATATCTACTTTAAAAATCTTATGTACATAATTAACTTAGTTTCAATTTTGATTATATTTTAGCAGTCTCCCCTTATACAAAGCAGTGAAGGGGAACAGAATATGCCACCCCCAAATGTGCCACTTTGGCATGTGGATTATCTGCAGTTGATGGCAATCAAGACCCAGCTGACTCAAGGAAAACTTTTACCTTTCCCTTAACTGACTAAAAGAATTTCGATACAGGGCTTGGCCCAAAAAGAGAGCTATTACCAAAGATAACTTTTTACCTGAGAGACTTATCTGCATGGCAGGGCAAACACCTGATTATCAAGCACCTGTTCCTCTCATCTTCCTGTGAATTGGCCTCCTCCCCTTTAAAGCCTCCAAGACCCTTATCCCATTTGCTAGCTCAGGGTGGCATATAAGCCACAATTGACTGACTGCCTTTGGTCTAATATTTTAATGAGGCTCCTATATGTGCAAATTTAATTTTTTTCTCCTGTTAATCTGTCTTACGTCAATTGAATTACTAGAGAATCCAAAGAACCTAGAAGGATAGAAGGAAAATCTTTCCTTCCCAACAGTAGCACAACTAAATTGGTTGCAAAATCATTTTGTGTCACTTCTGTTGAATTCTTAGTAATCATAAGGTAGTATTGAGACCATCTCCATTAACCAATTTAAAACATACACTTCACCTCAGTTCGGATCCCACATATGAGGGCCAGTGACACTGCCCTCTACAGCTAAGATGCTGAACAACAGCTCAATCTGGAGCTGGGCTGCCATGAGTCGCCAGCGACGGCGTAGGCTGCAGCCCCTGTGGCAGTGGGTTGCCATGGGCTACCGTGTGTAGCCAGTAGCCAGCGTGAGCGGCCAGCAGCCGCAGTGAGCGGCCGTCCAGAAGCCTGAGACTGATCTGCCTCGCCTGGAAGAGCGCAATGATGGTGCCAGCTTGGGCCAGTGAAGCAAGGTCCTCCACAACTAGACTGAAGAACAAAAGGACAGCAACTTGTCTGTTCCCCTTCCCCCAATTCCCCAGAGCTGTTCCCGTCCCCAATTCCCCCAATAAAAGAAATCTTAAAAAAAACAAAAACAAAAAAAAAACATACACTTCAACCTCAAGTTACTGCTCTGATATTTCTCTTCATCTCAGCTAAAAAAAAAGAAAAAAGAAAAAGAAAAATGTTCCCATGGCTTATTCTCAAATATTAATTTCTATCTGAAAGTCAACTCCCTTACTATAGCTAGGTATGGATGAAGAAGAGGCTCTGTAATAATTTTGCTAAGTCCAGTGACGGAAAGTAACCTCACAGGGTGATCTAATCATAAATTCCTAACTGGGCAGGTCATGGTGGGTAGTCACACCCCAGGCATATAACTTCTTTAGTAAAAGGTTTACCTTTGCCTTAAGCAAGCCCTGTCCATTGTTCTTGGGTATCTAGGTTAACACACCTCTGGAATGCCAGAGTAATCCTCTTTTTCAGACCCCTCAAAGGCCTAACCACCCTATCCTGTAATCCAATCCTAGAGATTTCCCTGCCGAGCTTTCTCCCACCTCCATGTAATCTTTCTTACATTCCCTCCTTAATTCCAAATATATAAAACAAACAACAAACCAGAGCATTTGAGCTCTTGCTTCTTAGCATGTTGTCAGTTGGATTCAAATAAACTCTTATAAAAATTCTTTTCAGGTTTGGACATTCTTATGTCAACATAGGGAAGAATAGAAAATCATATTAAAAGAGCTTCGGTTTACATCAGTCCAAAATCAATCACTGATTCACGTATGACTTTGCATAAGTCACTTCACCTTTACATATTGTTTTTCTATCCTAAAATCGATATCACCTCTACCTCCATTTAGGGATATCAAAATTATCCCATGTTGGTGTAACATTCAGAGACTACAAAAAAGAGAGTGACATAGGAGTATTGATCATTTTTATGATGTATGCTACATTTAAGTACAAACACTGAGAAGAAGACATATAATTTCCACTAAAACGGTCCCACAAAAATAAAGCTATAGGAATGGTATTACCCCTTCTATGCTTAGAGTAGTGATTGGCATACAATAAGTGCTTAATTGTGTTAAAGAAAAAACCACAGGCCCAAAATGGCATCAATTGTACTAAAAGTTTATGATACCAAACCTAGATTTAATACCTGACCTAACTGCAGTTTCTACTGGGTTGTCAGAAAAGTCATGACGTATTTTTTCTATGTTTTTCATTGCAAAAATGCGTCATGACTTTTCCAACAACCCAATACCTCTCCCAGAAATGTAATCTTAATCAACCAGTATGGAATTTTCTGAACAAGCACCAGTAAGGTAAATCTGTCACTGTGGGCCCTCTTCATCCCCATAGAAAGAAGAGGCAATCTGCATGATAAAAGCCCTTCCCATTCTCTTCCTCCAAAGAAAAGGTGTCCTGGCCCCAAAATAATCCATTCTTTTATTTGTCAGTAGCTTCTTTGCTCCACCTTTCTTCCTATAAAAAGTTTCCCTTTTGTACAAGCCCTTAGAGCACCCTTCCAGTTGCTGGATGGGATGCTGCCTAATTTATCAACTGCTTACTAAAGTCAATTAGATTTTCAAATTTACTCAGTTGAATTTTGTTTTTTATCAAATAACTACCAAAAAAAGTCTTTTTCCAATTCTATCTTCCAAACAAAAGAAGAAACTGTAACTATGTACTATATATAAACATATTCACTATTACAGGTTTACATCCAAACCTATAGAGAACGTTAAAGAGTTTATTTGAGCCAAACGGACGACAATTACAAGGAAGCAAAATCTCAATGGATTAAGAAAATGCTCCAGAGAATGACAGTTTTGCAGCTTATTTTACACATTAGAATCAAAGGAGAAGAAAAATAAGGAAGGTACATGAAATCCACTGGTGGTAGATTAAAGGGGTGGGAGAAAGCAAAGTGGGGAAATCTCTGAGATTGGGTAAAAGGTAAAATGGAGAGACACATATTTCTTTTACATTGGTGGGTACAAGATAGTTAATAATTAACATTTTTATAGCACATAGAGGTATTTGGGGAACAAGATAACAATGAGGGGTTCTGTACTCTTTGTGTTCTGGTGCTGTGGGTTGTGCCCTGAGGGGTCCAGAAAAAGGGATTACTCTGACATTCCAAGGATATGTTATTTTAGATGCAAAAAGACAATAGACAGTCTCACTTAAGGTAATGATTGACCTGTGTCAAAGAAGCTACAGGCCAAGAATGTGGCTATCCGCCATGACCCACTTTTAGTTAGGGATTTTTATGCTCAGACCATTCTATGTGGTTAATTTTGGTCTCTGAGTTCGTTTGTAGGGCCTGCCATACTTGCCTCCCCTGAGCTTGTCAGGTTTAGTACGTGACCCCTTTTTTGTCCACATATCCAATAAGCCAAAAAAGGACATAATACAAATGAGGCTGTCATAATTGCAAGTATTATGCTTTTGTGTTTACAGCATAGATGCATTTCATTGATGCTCATGTAGCAAGTCAAATATTGTTTAAGAAAATTAAATTGGAATGAGGCCAAGGTATGTCACAAATACAAATGTGAGAAATTAAAAGCAAAGTTAGATTTTAAAAAAATAACATCTTAAAGGAAACTTGTAGCTGTCTATATTTATTTTCCAAATGATAGCTCCCACTTTAGTGACAAATTAGCAAGATTTTCTGAGTTGTTATCACAATTCAGTTTTTTTTAAATAAGAAGATTTTGAAAAATTAGAGTCCTAGGGGTTTTTTTTAATACAAGAGAAGGAAAGGAGCCAGAAACAACTTGTAATATAAGGAAATGAGAGCTTAAGTTTAAGGATACAAGAAACAAAAGGAAAAAGGTAGAAGACCTGGCAATTGAGAAAAGACTTTTATTGATTAGAATGATAATTTATCTAAATATCCATACTAATCAACAAACGGATTTGGCATGAGTATACATTCTTTTCCAGCATATTTGCATAAATGTGTTAATAGGAAGAAGAGTTTTTCACCTGGCTCCATCAAACTTCTTCAATGCCAAAGTATAATTTAAAGAACAAATTCAATTTAGGCACAAAATAGTGCAAATCTACAGCACCCAAAAAGATTTTGATCTGGCTGCTGCTTTTATAGGTATAGTTTAGAATTACTGGGTCTGTCCACACAGATTTCTTTTCTTCTCAGTCTATCATTTGGCATTTAATGGTTCCTATAAGTAAAACCACTAAACATAGTGAAATTAAAATGGAAAATGAATTAGCAAATTGATCTTGAAGACCATGATTTAGAATTAGCACACTGTGAGAAATTAAAGGTCTACTCCTGCCAAATAGAGAAAAGGACTGCAACAGCCAAGTAACCATTTAGTTAAACTTTACCATCCAAATATTGTTCTCCATAAGAGCTCTCTGGAAATAGTCCCCTTAAATATGTTATACATGAGATAGAAATAGAAAAAAGTTTCTTCACCAGTATCAATGACTCATGCTCATTAGTAATTTGGGATGGGAAAACTGTTTCCTGGAAAAAAAACAAAGATGAAAAAGATTAGTATTCTTTAATATAATCAGTTCATCATGCCATTAACACAGATACGATGGAAAGATGCAAATCTGACACCTTCATAGGTAATCAAAAGGAAGCAGGCTTTGACTATTGCATTAAATTACATTTTCATGGGTTGGCCGAGTGGCTCGTTGGTTAAGAGTTGGCCTGGGAGCACGAGCTCTGAGCAGCAGGGCCACCGGTTCGGATCCCACATGAGCCAGTGATGCTGTGCCCTCTACAGCTAAGATGGTGAACAACAGCTCGACCTGGAGCTGGGCTGCCGTGAGTCTCTGGTGACAGCGTAGGCTGCAGTGGGGCTGCAGTGGGCTGCTGTGAGCTACCGTGAGTGGCCAGCAGCCAGCGTAAGCGGCCGGAAGACAGCGCGAGCTGCCATGAGCCTCTGTGAGCAGCCGTCCAATGGCCGGTGACCAATCTGCCTCAGCCAGGAGGAGCACAATGATCACAATAGCAACATGGGCCAGTGAAGCGACATCCTCCACAACTGGACTGAAGAACAGAAGGGCAGCAATTTGTCTGCTCCCATTCCCTGATTCCCCAATGCTGTTCCCTCCCCCAATTCCCCAATAAAGTCTTAAAAAAAAATTAGATTTTCACATGCAAAGCAGAGGAGAAAGGCAGTTACCCAAGTAACTCAAGAGTAATATAATTTATTTCAAAATGATCCATGGATTTGAAGCAAAACTGGAGTTTTACTATAATTATATAATCTCCTCCCCCTTCACACACTCCTCAGAATCCACTGCTATCGGTCTTTTACTCCATCCACTCTATACTGTTCTCTCCAAAGTCACCCAGCACATACTATCATTGACCTCTTCTCAGTCCTGATGCCATGTAACTAACTTCTCCGCAGTGCTTGACAGTTGCCTACACTCTTGCTCTTCTCTCTCAGCTACCATAATACATTTTCTTTTGGTTTTTCACCTCTCCCTCTATATCTATCTCAACCTTTTATTTTTTCCAGTTTTTCTGCCCTTTAAATGTTGATCCCATCCTAGGATTCTGTCTTTGGTCCTGTTCTCTTTTCATAGCTCTCTCTTCTTGGGTAATCTCATCTAGTCTCACTGCTTCAGCCACAGCCTATACAGAGAAGCCTTGGAGTCCTCACTTCTGTTCTGAGCCACACTTCTATTTTTCTATTTTCTGAACATCTGCACCTAGACCACTTTGTAGACTCCTCAAACTCAGTTTCTTTCTATCACCACTTAGACAAATGAATCAGCATCAGTCCAATCATCCAGGGTAGAAGTACACTCATCTTTGGCTTCTCTCTCTCTTTCATACCCCACATCCAATTACTAAATTCTATTAATTCTCTCTAAAAGAATTCTCAAATCTGTGTTTTCCTTTCCCTTCTCACTGCCACTGTCTTGGCTCAGGACATACTTACTTCTCCCCTTTGTTACTGCAGTAGTCCCTGATCTCCCTGCCAACAGTTCCTTCCATTCAATCTGTCCTTCATGTAGCCAAAATTAACTTTAAAGAACACAAATCTTATGACTCTCCCAGTGTTCACACAGCATAGCTTTCAAGTACCTTAGTGTGGCATTTGAGAACTACCTAAATTTTATCCTTGCCTAGCTGTCCTGCCTCTCTGACCCACTCCTCTCTGCCCCTATTCCCTTATCCTCTTAGCTACGTGGAAATACTATTCATCTACTGTTCTACTACACCTTTGTGCTTTGCTTAAGCTAGAGTTCTGCAGAATACTAAGGTTCTGGAAGATGTCAGATAGTGTTCTATAAAAAGTATCAATGCTAACAATAGTTTCCTTCTAACGTTTGTGTGTGTGTGTGTGTGTGTGTGATATTAAACAATTTATACAGTTGTTCTTAAATGATTGGATAGTCTGACTTAAAAAATAGTGTGCTGAGGGCCGGCTGAGTGGCTCAATTGGTTAAGAGCTTGCTCAAAGGTTTGAGCTCTGAGCAACAGCGGTTTGAGTCCAGCCCGAGCTGAGCTGCAGCTGAGGTGCCAACAGGTGGCAGGATGGCTCAGCTAAAAAAAAAAAAATAGTGTGCCATATTAGGAATGTCATAAGAGAATGATAGATACATGAATTTTACTTCACTATGTAAGAGGTGTCTACCAACTAACAGACATTTTGCTTATAGTATATTTGCTGATAATCTGTTTTGTATCTTGAGTTATCATTTCAACATGTTTGTCATACCATTCAATGTTTATTGTGTACATGTATTAACATAAAAATTAAAATGTGATCATTTTTATCACAATTAATTAGTCTATGAGACTGTTTTTTGCTGTCTTCTTTAATCCAAGCACAAAATATGTATCATGAACTCCAGGTGGTGTTCTGTCAATACATTATAGTTTTAAAGTATTTTCCAAATATTGATGAATTAGACTACATTAAACGTATGTTCATTAATACACTATTAAGAGAAAAGAGACAACTCAAGAGTGGGAGAAGATAATCTAATATATATGGCTGACACAGGACTGATATCCAGAATGTATAAAGAACTCCTAAAATTCACTAGGAAAAAGACAGACAATGGAAAAGGAAAACAGGCAAAAGACCTGGACAGATCCTTTGCAAAACACAACATCCAAGTGGCCAATAAACAATGGAAAAGTGCTGAAACTTCAAGGAAATGCATATTAAAATCACAACGAGATAACACTACACACCCACCAAAATGACTAACATTTTTAAAAATCAAAAAATACCAAATGTTGACAAGGATATGAATCAATCAAAGCTTTTTAAACACTGGTTGTAGGAGTGTAAATGGGTACAACCTCTTTGGAACATTGCTTGACGGTATCTAATAAAGTTAAATGTATATATATCCTTGACTTGTAGGTATAGATTCAACAGATATATGTGTACATATACTCACCAAAAGAAATGTTCATATCAGCATTATTCATAATAGTCCCAAATTGGAAACTACCCAAATGCCCATCGAGAGAATGGATAAACAAATTGTGGTATATTTCCACAACAGAATACCATTCAGCAATGAGAATCAATGACCTACAACTATACTTAACAATATAAATGACTCTCACACATAAAGCTAAGCAAAATAAACCAGACACAAATGATTACTATTGTATGATTTCATTTATTTAAAGTACAAAAGGAGGTGAAACTAACTTATGCTGTTAGAGGTCAGAATGGTAAGTCTTTGATTACTTTATTCAAATTCAGGAGCCTTTTCTTTACTGCACAGTTTCAACTGTTGACGTTTTAATAATTCTGTTACTTAAATATGACTTTATGTGAAAAAGAACTCCCCAAAAGCTTTTTTTATATCTAGCTCTGGTTTTGCTATATAAGCTTCCATCTTTTTTGGTATACTATATAGTGGCAATGAATTACCATTTGTCAAACCATATTATATTCAGTTGTCAAAAAGGTATATAATAAAATTATTACTCTTGTATGTATGATAGGAACTTCAGGGAAAAATTAATATAGATCTTAAAAGCCAGGCTAAGGAATTTATACTTTATTCTGCAATCAATGGAAATTCAGCAGGTTTGACCCAGTAAATTAGTGAAATAATTGTTTTAGGAATATTAAGCTGTAGCAGAAGTAGGAAAGATTAAAGCTGAAGAAGAATTAGGTGTGCATGTGGTGTGTGTATTGTGTGCATGTGTGTATTTGTATGTGTGCAAAATTTTACAGAAAATTGCTCTTTGATCTTTGTACCCATAGATCCTAAGACATTATGATTCTTTTGGGTAACTGGGTAATAGCTGGCATGACATGCATATTTGGTAAATTATTGAAAACATGCCGAAACTTAGAGGCAATACTTGAGTAATAATCATTAGTAAAATTAAGTAACCTGAAAGTATAAAGACATTTACTTTAAATTTAAAATCTAATAGCCCATTTGTAGTAATGAAGATCAATGGTAAGAAAAGGACTCTAGAGCTCTGTTACTTCTCTACACTCCAGGGATTTTTTTCTCAACTCAGCTTGTCTAATACTTTAAATGTCTAATACATGAAAATACTATGGCTTGATAATAAAAAAAAACACTATTATAAATTATTTTAATAAGATAGTGTGCTAATGACATGAGATGTTTGACAGCTTAGCTGTCACGTTATATGACCCAAGGCAAGTTACTTTACTTCTCTGAGCTTCAGTTTCCTCCTTATTGCAAGGTTTAATTGAAATAATAATATAAAGCCCTCAACACAATGCCCAACACATGGTAAATGCTGAATAAATGTTAGTTTCTATAGTTATTATTATTGTTGTTTTAAGTATTAAATAGCAAACTCATACAGTCACTTAAAATTTACCGGGAGAAGCAGCTCATCCGGTCCAAACTACAAAGATCTGTTTTTATCAAAAGGTCAATTTGTTCATGTACAGTGAGAAAAATAACTGCCAAGTTGATTGCAGTTCATATACCCATCTCAGCATTTTCCCTCCAAGAAGGAAGCACACTTAGAAAACTAAATGAGATCAGGAGCCTGCTTGGTGAGTATATTGAATTCGAGCCAGAAAGATGACTGCCTTCTCTCTGCCCTAATTCTCCTCAATTTCAATCTGTCCTACTTTTGCTACAGTTTAATATTCCTAAAACAATTATTTTACTCACTCTCCTGATCAAACCTGCTGACTTTCCATTGATTGCAGAATAAAGCATAAATTCCTTAGCCTGGTTTTTAAGATCCATATTATTTTGTCCCCAAAGTTTGTATTCAATTTTATTTCCTGCTTCTGTTCAACATGACAGTCCACTCCAGTAAGGATGGGGTTCTTCATTATTCTCTGAAACATGCCATGCTGATTTCTTATTCTGAGCCAAGGCATATGCTAGGTTTTCCTCATGCAATTCTATTCTCTCTCCTCTATCTAAATCATTTTCATTATTTAAGGTCCACCTTAAGTCCTGTCTCCTTCATGAGGAATATACAAATAATTCTAGTCTAAACAAAAATCTCAAAATTCCTATAATTTGTGTTGCTTTACTCTTTTTCACATATATGCAATGCATATATGACTTCGTATATTGACTTATCTCCTTCAAATTTTAATTTAACCAGATTATAAACTTCTGGAAGATGAAGATTCTTTTTTTGTCATTCTTTCAGAGAATAACACAGTATTACATACTCGTATATACTATACGATATTGAGCTCTCAGTGAATAAATAAATGATTCATTAATGAATGTCACAGAACAAAATAAATTTGTACAGGTGAACTCAGCAAGGTTGCCTAGCCCTGGCATGCTCCCCCAGGGTCCCAGCATCCAAGTTTTTCTCAGTGCTCTCTCCTTCATTTCTTACAATTACATCATGGTATAATTGCTTCAGGAAGTGAATGTCAACAAAGACCATCTGTTTTGTTTCTGATTTCTTTTACCCTAGAAAATCTAAATATATAAACATGAAACAAGCACCCAGTAAAGTATTTTTTAGGAATCTATTCTAATTTTCTGAACATTCTCAGTCCATTAGGCAGTTAAAATGTAGACATACCTTGCCAGCATAGTATGTGCCAATTAACTGCTGTTTAAAGAAAACACCAAAGATTAAAGTCATGATTCTGAACTAACTCGCTAAATGGTCAATTTTCTTCTAATTCTTAATAAATACCTGAGTTGTCTTGTGAGTTCTGATAGAATGAGAGAGCTGAGCTGTGGCCATTGTAGTAATATGTCAGGATTATTTTAGCAAGTCTAACCTGAAAAAAAAAAGATAATAATAATAATAATAATAATAATTAATTAATTAGAGACCTTTCCTAGCATAACCCTTATTGTAAATGCTCCAAAGAAAAACTATATAATTAGCATTTGACTACATTTTTTGGAAAATTACTTTAATAATCATTTTAATCTCCACTACCAATTTTCTATAAATTTGGCATAAATTCTCTGAATTAGTTTTCCCAATCACCCAATAAAAATTTAAGTTGACCCACTTGTTTCCAAATACATTTGGAGGAGAAAAATAAATTGTAAATCACTTAATGACTCGATAATATATTTTATTCATCCTTGTTATTCCCTCAGAGTGTAACAGTGCTTGGTACATAGCAGCAGCTCAAAAACACATCTTGAATTAACTTCATGGTGTAATTGATTTTCAAAGTCAACTCACAAGTTAATGTTTATACTTCCTACCCATTAGCATGGCTATTAAAAAAAATGGAAAATAACAAGTGTTGGTGAAGATGTAGAGAAACTGGAATCCTTGTGCACTGTGGTGGAAATGTAAAATGGTGCAGCTGCTGTGGAAACAGTATGGGAGTTCCCCCAAAAGTTAAACAATTACCATATTATCCAGCAATTCCACTTCTAGGTATATACCCAAAAGAACTGAAAGCAGGGATTCAAGCAGATGCTTGTACACCAATGTTCATAGCCATATTATTTACAATAATAGCCAAAAGATGGAAACAACCCAAATGTCCATCAGCAGTTGAGTGGATTAAAAAAATGTGGTCTATACAATAGAAAATTATTCACTTTTATAAAGGAATTAATTTCTGATACATGCTGCAACCTGGATAAAATTATGTTACGTAAAATACACCAGACACAAAAGGAAGAATATTGTATAATTCCACTTATTAGAGGAAAATAGTCAAATCCAGAGTCAGAAAGTAGCAGAGAGGTTACCAGGGGCTGGATGGTAGAAGGAATGGGGAGTTTAATGGGTACAAAGTTTCTGTTCAGGATGATGAGAAATTTCTAGAAATCTACAGTGGTGATGGTTGTATAACACTGTGAATGAACTTAGTGCCACTGAATTAACATTTGAGAATGGCTGAGGTGGTAAATTTTGTTATGTACATTTTACCACAATAAAAAAAATTAATGTTTAAAATACATAATGTTTAGAATAGTTTTTACTGGGGTGGCTCAGTTGGTTAGAGCACATGCTCTGAGCAACAGGGTTCCTGATTCAATTCCCACATGGGCCAGTAAGCTGCACCCTCCGCAACTACAATAGATTGAAGACAATGACTTGGGGTGAGCTGCCGATAGGCAGCCAGGTGGCTCAGTTAGAGCGCATGCTATGGGATGGTGGGCTGTACCCCCTGTAACTAGACAGAAAATGGCAACTGGATGTGAAGCTGAGCTGAGCCCTCCACAACTAAGATTAAAGGACAACAACTTGACTTGGAGCTGATGGATCCTGGAAAAAAACACATTGTTTCCCGAAAAAAACACACTGTTCTCCAATAAAGTTAAAAAAAAATTAAACTTATTTAAAATAAATAAATAAAAAAAATAGTTTTTACTTCCATTGCTTCACTAACATTAAAAAAAGCAAATTTCCACAGGCGAATTTTACAAAACATTCAAAAAAGAATTAACACCTATTCTCCTCAAACTATTCCAAAAAATACAGAAGGAGGGAAGGCTCCCAAGCACATTTTATGAGGCCACTATTACTCTGATCCCAAAGTCAGACAAAGATATTACAAAAAAAGAAAACTACAGGCCGATATCCCTAATGAACATAGATGCAAAAATCCTCAACAAAATACTAACAAGAAAAAAAAAAGCCAATTTCCCTTCTTCTTTTCAAAGGCCTTGATTTAATTTAAGCTGTGGCTTCTTTTCAAGGTTTTATAGAGTTCTGACCAAATATTTGTAAAATAATCCATATAAAGAAATTCTGGATCACCCAGGCTAACCTGTGACCTGTTTTTGTGTAAACATATTAATGCAAGATTCTGGAAGATTTTGCAAATAAAAGAGGGCAGAATTATTTGATGCCACAAGGTGGTGACAGAGATTATAAACAGGTAATATTTAATTTCTCTCAAACGACTTTTTCAGAGCAGCACTAGGGGACACTCTAACAATATTTTATATGAGACTAAAAACCACCTAATAGCCTTTTGGTCCTGAAAGATTCCAAGGTATCTTTTGTTGACTTCAGAGTATAACCTTCATTTCTGAGTATAACCTACAAATATGACTCAACAACTCAATAGTCTCCCTTATGACTTCAAAAAATAAAACAGAAAAAATAACTACAAGAGTTTAAGCTCTAGTTCTGGCCCATTAAAACATAACAAACTACTTCCTACTGGGGTAATAATTAGTCTTAGAGACAATAAATAAGAGGAATAATGATTTTTAAATAGCTCTCCACATTGTTTTTGTTTTTTTTAATTTCTCTATGATCATAAGACATTCTGATGGCATTTCTAGAGAATCAAGCCCTGAAAATAGTATCAGCCAATTAGAACCCAATGCATTACAACATCCATATTTTTGGAATGTATGGATAACCTGGATTAAATTGATATTATCACTAAAAACTCTGAGACATCTGAAGGCACTTGTTTTGAGAAAGATTTTAACTCCAGTCACTATTAGCATTTGGTAAATACCTGCGGAATTAACATGTATAAAACAAATTAAGTTAAACTTTATAAACACATATGTATGTATATAGACAAAAATAACCAGCAGTATAATCTAGTAGAAAGACGGTTTAGAGTTAAGGAACCTAGGTTCAAATTCTGCTCAACTACCTAGTAGCTCTATGACTTAATCAAATTACTTAATCTCCCTGGGCCTCAGTTTCCTTTTTGTAAAATGAAGACAATAAATCCAACTTTTCAGGGCTTTTCTAGTGTTTATCCAGGCAAGTGTTTACCAGGAGACGTAACATAGCATAGTGGTTAAGCACATGGACTCTTCTGGAGTCAAACTACCTAGGATCAAATCTCAGTTTGCAATTTACTATCATCTTAGGCAAGTGCTGTGCCTCAGTTTCCCCACTTGTAAAATAAGGATAGTAATAGTACCTACTTCATAAGGTTGTTGTCTGGACTAAATGAGTCATTATTTGTAAGGCCTTTGTAACACTGTCTGACACACATTTCATTATATGTAAAAAAGCATGTTTATTTTTTTTAATCTTATAATGTATTAGTAGTCAAACTCCTGGTTTTCTTCCAGCCTCCCAGTTGTTCCTTTTCATTGTTCTCTTCAGACATTTTTCCCTGCCATTTTTTAGCTTTCTGTGTTCTTGAGGGTTCTGTCCTAGGACCTCTTCTTTTTTTTTTTTACTTCTAAATACACCCCCTGGATGTACAAATACATTCCCACTGTATCAATTACTATTTCTATTCTAATGTCTGATATGCATATCCCTAGTCCAGGTCTCTCTGGGAAGTTGCAGATTTATACCTCTGTCTATGAGAGGTTGATGTTCCCAACACATCCAAATGTAAATTCTTTACCCCTAAACCTATTTCTGTTTCCTAGCTTAGTAAATGACATCATCACATACCTAATTGATCAGGCCTAAAAACTATGACTCAAATCTGACCATCCCCCCCGCACCCCAATCATCCCCATATCCAATCTCCTTAATATTTTACAAATGTCCACTCCTCACTTAATCTACATTGCTGCCATCTCTGCTTGAGATTGGATCAGCCTCATCTTTTATCTGGACTGCTACAAACCACTAGTCTGCCTGTCACTGGTCTTACTCCAGTCTGTTCTTTGTATTGCAGCCAGAGTTTTCTTTTTGAGTTACAAACTTGATAATGTAAATTCTTAGACTGAAATACTTCAATAGCTCCCCACAACCCTCAGGATAAAATCCAAACTCCTTACCATCGTTTCAAGACCTGGCTCATGCTTCCTTAGCCACATCTCTAACCATTTTCCCTTACACTTTCATGCATCCACTTTTTTTATCTAGGTTAATTACCCTAAAGGACTATATTCTTTCCAGCCTTCTGCCTGAAACATTCTCCTCTGTTCCCAATTCCTACTCATCTCCTAGACATGGCTTACTATAAATTTCTTAAAGAATTATTTCCCGATTCACCACTACCACCAAGTCCAAGTTATATACCCATTGTAATATATACTGTACATTGATTGCATTTATGCATCCACCCCATCCTACTGTTAATGTGAGAGCAAAGTTTTGTCTAGCTCATTCTTTATTTTTTAAAGTTTTTTAAAAAAAAACTTTTAAAAATTGTTTTTTGAAAAACAATTCAGAGCCGGCCGAGTGGCTCAGCTGGTTAAGAGCTGGCTTGGGAGCACAAGCTCTGAGCAGCAGGGCTGCTGGTTCAGTTCCCACATGGGCCAGTGATGCTGCACCCTCTACAGCTAAGATGGTGAACAACAGCTCAACCTGGAGCTGGGCTGACATGAGTGGCCGGCGACAGCTTAGGCTGCACTGGGGTTGCAGGAGGCTGCCGTAAGCTACCATGAGTGGCCGGCAGCCAGCCTGAGCAGCCAGCAGCTGGTGAGAGCTGCCATGAGCCACTGTGAGTGTCCAGTGGCCGGCGACAAACTGCCTCAGCCGGAAAGAGCACAATGATCATAATACCAACATGGGCCAGTGAAGCGACATCCTCCACAACAAGACTGAAGAACCAAAGGACAGCAACTTGTCTGTTCCTCTTCCCCGATTCCCCAACACTGTTCCCCTCCCCCAACTCCCCAATAAAATCTTTTTTTTAAAAAGAACAATTCAGTGAGTTTTAATATATTCAGAAAGCTTACAACCATCACTACTGTCTAATTTCAAACCCATTAGCAATCATTCTCCATTCTCCCTGCCCCCGACCCTTTAGAACCACTAATCTACGTTTTAATTTCTATGGATTTGCCTATTCTGGGCATTTCATATAAATGGAATCATATAATATGTGACCTTTTG